TGAACTTTGGGTCCATTTGGAGGACCGTACTGCACAATCAGGAAAAGTGTGAACTTTGGGTCAAGGGAACAATCAGAACAGAAGGTGCAGGTGGGTGAACCATTTGGAAGATGGAACAAGGTGAACTTTGGGTCAATCTGTAGGACCGTACTGCACAATCAGGAAAAGTGTGAACTTTGGGTCAAGGGAACAATCAGAACAGAAGGTGCAGGTGGGTGAACCATTTGGAAGATGGAACAAGGTGAACTTTGGGTCAATTTGGAGGACCGTACTGCACAATCAGGAAAAGTGTGAACTTTGGGTCAAGGGAACAATCAGAACAGAAGGTGCAGGTGGGTGAACCATTTGGAAGATGGAACAAGGTGAACTTTGGGTCAATCTGTAGGACCGTACTGCACAATCAGGAAAAGTGTGAACTTTGGGTCAAGGGAACAATCAGAACAGAAGGTGCAGGTGGGTGAACCATTTGGAAGATGGAACAAGGTGAACTTTGGGTCAATTTGGAGGACCGTACTTTTACCGGGGCAACGGTCTTCCTTGTGGTGGTTTCAAGGGGCTCCCCAAAAGACGAGGCGCCAATTTGGCAGGGAGTCACGTCCGAGGTGGAACATGACGCCGCAGGGCACCGGCGCCATGGGCGCGAAACTGGACGCTGACGAGGCGCCGATTTCAAGAACCTCAGAGGGAACGCCCCCTCCCAAACCATGTTTTTTTCTTTGTGGCTATTTGGTTGGATCTTTGGAATTTGACTTTTGGTGAAGCAGTGGATGTTAAGCACTCACTTCCCGAGTTCCTGGACTTTAAACAACTTCTTGGAAAGACGTTTTTAGTGGTAACTAAGACCTCTCCGCTTGAGTTCCTGGACGTTAGTCACTTATTGGAAAGACCTTTTTAGTGGAAATGAACAGTTTATTTTTGGTTGGCCAATCTACTCGAGATGTGAGTATAATACAGGACCTCTCCCCAATGGGCGCACTCTAAAAAGATGATCAAGCCATTGGTTGTTCCTTTGTTTCAGGGGTCCCTATGTTTCCCTTTGTGGCTTAAGCATCGCCTCAAAGGGGGCCGTTTAAAGTGAGTTTACGTCATTAGGTATGATAAAACCAAGAGAGCAGACTCTCCCAAGCTCTCTATTCAACACTCAGAAATCAACCCTGCATATGGATGTGGCCAGCTTGCCTGAGGTATCAAACAAGCTCACCCGTGATGGTCCCAGACTGATGAATTCCTGTATTTAGGTTGCGAAATAAACAAATTCCTGAATGCCTGAATGCCTGAAGGTAAAACAGATGGATTTGCGGTATTTTGTTATGGTCGGTATCCACCAAGGGATCCAAAACGTCCAATTCAGCTGAGCAAGTGGAATGACTCCCCCGAACTGCTCGCCGTGGTCTGAACTCGGCAATCAACCAATCCGGGGGAGGAAGAAGACATTGTAACCATGACCTTTTTGTCTGGTCTCTTTGGAACAGTTCCTAGGTCCGATTGTTGTAGTGGGCTCGCCAAATGTTGTAATCAGCCTACAACTGACTTGTATCCGGCGCTGTCAGCCTTTTTTGTAGGTGACTCTTCCCGGTTTTATGGGCGTAAGCCTAGCTAAACCATTGTGGCTGAGCCAAAAGTTGGATGGGTATCGGTATCAAAGGGTTTCCATGATACATCCAAAACCCACCTCAAGGTTTCATTGCCCGAATCAAAGACAAAAGCACATAGACCTAAATATAACACTATGTAGCCTCCATAAGCCCATATTGCCATATGGCCTTTCCGAACTTTTGTCACTCTTTGGGTCCGAACCATTTTGGTGGTCCGAACCATTTTGGTGGTAAGCACAAAGTTTGGCTGCATTTTCTGGCCCATCCAGTCGGTCAGGTGTGAGCTTCTCCCTGGTCACTGGGGTGTTCAACGAACTTAGAAAGTAGGTTACAACCATAGCGGACCAGTCAACCATGGATAGAAAGCTACTTAAGTTGCAACTATGGTTATAGCCGAATAGGCACCTCTTTTTTTTTAGCCAAACCGCGGGCGGGTCGCTCGAAGCGGGCGCTCGAAGCGGGCGCCTGTCAGGTCGATGTGGCGGTGATGCTCTCGGAGGGCGCCGTCGCCCGCATCGCCGAGGGCTCCCGGACCAAGGCGCAGAGGGCGCTCCGGCGGGCGGGTCCGGCGTTCCGGAAGGCGGAGTGGATGTTTCCAAAAAAAGCGAGGGAACTCACTCGGATTTTGGGCCTGGACCATTTTAGTGGTACACAACAAAATCAGTGAGGAAGGCCAACCAAACCAAAAGAAATTGCATTTTTTCAAGTTGCTCCCCAAATGAACATGGACCCAAGAAAAGAGATTCCCAAGACAGGAGCTCAGTTCTTGAACTTAATACTTTTTTGGTTGACCGCTTTAGGGGCAAACAGCATCTCTCAACCACTTCTCACTTGCGCAAAGCGAATAGGGTTTTGCTTGTGTAGCATGGTGAAAGTGGGGCTTTAGGGCTGGCCGGTATTGCAGGATCAGCCCAAGTTGACAAAGGGATTGCGTACAACAGCTGTAAACACCAAGACCCTGTCTTCAGAACATGAATCATGGGGGTTTCCGAAGGCGGGGAGAACGCGGCTTAGCTCGTTGGCAGGTGTGCCAAAAGGGGGAAGCGGCCAATCGGCCAGGTCATCGGCACTTACGTGAAGTCACCGCTGCCCGGGGCCTCAAAGAGGGCAGCCAAAGGGATCATGCGGCATATGGGGGCAATGGAGTGCGTTGAGCGCTGGCTTATGTCTCACTGGAAGAAAGTTCCTGGACTTCAAACTGGTCAAGACCATTTTTCAGCGGTAAATAGCAAGTGTTGAATTTGTTTTGGACAATCCACTCAGGCAGGGAGTAGTAGTCTTCTTGCTTTGCTTGGTTGCTTGGTTGCTTGGTTGCTTGGCTTGCCTGGTGGTGGCATTAGATTTCACGCGGACTTGTTATCCAACTGTTTGGTTGGTCGGTTTTGTATGCTGTTCCCCCAGTTCGGTTTGGTCCTGCTGTTGTTGTGCCTTCTGTAAAAGCCCCTGAATCCGCCGACCCCTGCTGTTCGCCGACGCACACTGAGGGGACCAGCGTTTGCAAATTGAACTCTGCGCTGCGCCATAGGGGACATGCCCCAGGGCCAGCTCCGGGGTGAGCTGGGGACCGCCCTCGGGTGTCGACCTACTTTGTCCTTGATATACTTAGACCACTCACCGTGTTGGTATAGCCCTGATCTGGGGTGCAGGACACATTGTCTTAGGACCTAGCAGCCAGAGTTGTAGAGTTGTAGGCCACTTACAAACAAGTTGGTAGGGCTTAGTACACTACCCAACATCGGTAGGGCTTTGCGCATTTTTGGGCCAAGGCGATGGGGCATCCATGTCAAGAAAGGCGGGCCGGCAGACATGCAGCAAATGTGTGAACGAAAAGCAGAACCATTGATATTCTTATTAGGGTGTGTATGTTTGTGGGTGACCCCCCAAAGCAAAATGAGGTGTTCCTTTCGGCTTTCCTTTCAGACCGCCCAACCAGGGGTACCCCCCAAAAAAAGACATACCCATTTCATGAGGCCTCCCCCCCGTTTAATTTAACATCTCTCAAGCAAGCAACCATGGAAGTCCAGAGAAAAATATGTCCCCCACAAGCAGGCATCTGTTTTTTTTTTCTTTTCTGTTTTTTTTTTTTTTAATTTATTTATTTTGGGTTGAAAAGAAAGAAGAAACGTCGCACTCACATAGAGACCCGGGAAGCCAGCAGGGTGAGGGTTTCTATTTACTGGCGGTTTAGCGTGGCCACCTCCGAGTGACATGGTTCCCAAAAAACCGCCTTCCCAAAGCAATACGAACCCCCCACAAGTGGAGCCGCTCTTCAAGGGAGCCGAAAGGCAAAACAGGGGTCCAAAGGCAACAAGTGACAAAATGGGTGTGTCTTTTTGGGGGACCCCCAAAATGGTGGCTTGCCTTTGGGTTTTCCTTTTACAACCACCACCTGAAAAGAGGTACCCTCAATAAAGTACACATCCAAATAGTTGTCTAAGAGTGTCAACTCCTAGAGTCCAAATCCAACCAGTTTCGACTCTTAGATCCCGCGGAAGTGCGTGTGGTCTTTTCCTCGAAGCGCAGGCAGCCCCATCAGAGAGCCCAGCCACCTCAAGGCGGAGCTGGGCTGTGGGTTGAGGCGATGGAGGTGTCTTCCTTTCAAAGGGTCCCCCTGTTTGGGAGAAAAGGATGCCCCGGCCATGTTGCGCAAATCCGTTTTTTCTTGTTTTTTTAACGAACAAACGTGCCTTGGTGTTTTTGAACACCTGTTTGGCCCATTTGGCCGGTGAGCTTCTTCAGGAAAAATGTTTCGAATGAACCCAAGAAGGTGCCCAGGAGCGGGAGCATGACCGCGGGTGCCTGTTCTTACCATGGGAATCTCTGTCGCAAGGACCCTCTGGGTTGGGAAGGGACAATCCCACTCAGAGATAGGTGCAGATGTCTGCCCTGGTTTTGTTTGCCTCAAGCAAATACGTCGCCAATCGGCCACATTCAACCATCAAAGTTACCCCTCTCTCAGTGGAAGGTTAAAGAGAAACCACCAATTCCAGTTGAATTTGACGCGAGAATCCGTCAAACCAAAGACCCCGGTCAGCTTTGTTTTGCAACCCGGATGTTTTTTTTTGGGGGGGGAGGGGGGGGGCGAACCCTTCTTTCTGGTTTGGTTTTTAAGGGAAGCTTGGTGCGCCATGTGGGGGGTTCCTCTAATTGGATATTCAACCAGCGTGAGGCCAGTGGAACTGGGGTTATAGTTCCCAAAATAAAACAATGGTTCTAAGCGCCACCAAAGCAGGAGAACAACACAGCATTGTGCACAGCTACCTTACCTGACATTGGTTGAACACCCCGGGCAAAAGGGAGAAACTCACGTCCAATCGACTGCATAGCCCAAAACAGGAGCTGTTTGCCACCAAAATGATCCAGACCCAAACAGTGAAACAGAGACTAAAGTCCATGAACTCAGTGAGGTGAGGAAAGGCAATATGTTGCTACATGGCTAGTTCCCCCAGTAGTGCCCTTTTACCCTTTTTTTGGGGGGAGGGTTCCCCTACTAAAATAGACTACAGAAAGCAAAAAACGGGTACCAACTTATTCCAACCTCTCTACTGGAGGACGTAGATGGTTCTAAGCTCCCTGACGTGGGTTGAAGACCGCGAGTAGCGACGGACGACGATTCGAAAGACTCGCCGAGGGCAGGACCTTCGGGGTGTCGCGGATGCTCAGCGGCTCTCACCTCATGGCCCACGTCTTTGCGCATCAGCAAGGCGCTGATCTCCCGATCGTGATGAATGTTTTACGCAGGCATTGCTTAGTTCACGTTGCGGAATTGTCGTTGCGCAATTTGCCAGGTGGGCGGTTTAAATCAAATTTCAACATTGAACAAACATTCACCAAACACTACCAAACCAACACATTGAACCATCAAATGTTTCAATCATACTAACGCAAAACACTAAGCAATCGACAAGCCAATGCAATTCACAGTTGTTCACCACCGACCTTTGACCTTTTGGTTTTTAGTTTCCATTTTTAGTATGTTAGTCAAGGTCCCAAAAGGTTACTTACCCCTCTCTCCCACGAACATGGCCTAGGCGGTCCTTCAAAGAGGACACTGATCTTCCAAGTACCCTCCTGCAGGTGCCTTCTGTTAGTGGGAGGAAGCGCTTCGCCTATTCCGTGCAGGGGGCACTGAAGCAAGGCGGCGTTTCAATGGCCTTTTTTCCTCCAGCTTCCCCCAAAACAACTTTTATTCCTGGGTCCCTAAGCCAGCACCCTCCAACTGCCCAGGAAGCAGTAGATATAATTTTCAATAACTACCTGGTTGTTTTTAAAAGGCACCCCCCCAACACAACTTTTATTCCTGGGTTTTCTATTGGCGCCTGATTTTTTTTAAAGGCACCTCACCCAGAAATCCGAAAGCTTTTGGCCGCAGGCTGGACTCCAGCCACGGACGCGCCGCTGCAAATCGCCCTTCGGCTTTCGGGTCTGCATGGGAGGCGCCAGAGGGTCCAAGATTCAGACCGCCTCTAGGCCTAGCAAATCCATTGGATGTCTAAATATGTATATACCTGGACCCTCAAAAAGGAACATGTGTTTGCTCATTACGTTATTTTTGCTCATTTTGCCAATTGAGCGGAATTTCCGAAATCTACGCGGAAACTGCAAATTTCATGTTCCGCACCCATTTTGTGGCAAATCCTGCAAATTTGGCCACCAGAAATGCGCAGAAGGCGGAAAATGCGCGGAAGGCGGAAAATGCGCGGAAATCGGCGGAAAATGCGCGGAAATCGGCGGAAAGCCCAAAACCAACTTGTTTTGAACATGGCTGGTTGAACCGAAATGTGTGTTTTTTGGGTAAATGAGCGTGTTTTCCAACAATGCGTGTTTTTTTTGCTTTTTAAGGAAAATGTTGGGAAATTGTTCTCAAAGAAGATCTAGGTATATAGGCATTGACAGGGCCCCTTAATAGATACATTTTGCCCATTTGAAACAAGGCTTTTTCCACCAAAATAAAGGGACGCCATCATTTACAAGGCAATCTTCAGGTGTATAATGCAAGGATCCCTGTATTGAGTTATGAATTTATTTAATATGTTTCGTTTGGGATTGTATGGGTGTGTTTTTGTGTTGGGTGGTTTTCGTATGGTTTTGAAAGATAAACAAAGGGACGCCAAAAAGGATTCCAACCTTGTTGGATTACCACGAATTCCGAGGCAACCTCGTGGTGGGTTTCAGGACGTCCCTTTGATCATAGCCATCGCAGAAATCCGAAGGTGTTTAACAAGGGACCCGGGATAGGGAGAGTTGGTTGAGATCCGGGCCCACCGTTGAGGTTTTTGGGTATGGGTCCAAGTGGCTGGTAAATGTTGAAGTATCCTGATTTAAAAATACAAGTGGGTCGCACTAAAGCCAGATTTAGCCATAGAGACAAATAATTTCTAGTTGCGTTGGCCTTAATATGGCTGGTTCTCAGTAGGAAACAGGTAGTTTGGGAATGCAGCGGAAGGTGATTTCCCAAGATTTGCATCCACAATGAATGGCTTAAATCGGGGTTATTCCAACTTATTCTCTGATGAGCATCAAGTTACATTGCTTGCTTCTTCTGCCCAGTGAATTGGATCCACTGCGTTAATGAAGGTTAGCCGGAAAGCTAGCTACGGTCAGAGGTGTGAAGTCGACTTCCAACCATGTCCAGTATTGAAAGACTTGCAATTTCCAGGTTTGTCCCAATTTGTTGGTGTTCTCTTGGTTTGGACACCGAGCTTTTGGATGTACTCCCCTACACAGCAATCTGGAGCCCAAACGAGGGGACCCCCAAACGAAGATTCGCAGCCCCGGAACTCCCAGCACATCTCGGGACCCGGGACTGACATTTGCTCCGAGCCAGCCCGCGAGCCTATCTGGGCCAAGCCCTATCGACCCCATAGCTTTCAGCTGAGGAATCAAGCTGTTTTGGGTGGGGGGAGTCCTTGTTTCCCAATTTTAGGGGTTCCATGGTTCCATGTTTAGTTGTTTTCTAGCAGTTTCGTTGTTTTCATGTGAATGTTCCGTGTTATTTTTGTTTTTTCTTGGCAAGTTCGGTGGTTTTTCCTTGTGCCATGTGAATCGACTCGGGGAGTCCTTCCCCTTGGGGCACCGATCCTTGTGAGGTTGGCACCTTGAACGGGGCCCGGGAGGCCATGGGCAACGCGGCTGCAAGCAGAACCGACCTGTGGACCTCTTTTTTTTAGTTTTCCGTTGTTGGTCCGTTTTCCGGAAAGGTCAAAGGTGTCCTTCTTACTGTTTTGGTATGAAATAGATGGGTTCCACTGCAGTCAAGGTCCCAAAAGGTTACCCTCTCTCCCACTAACATGGCGCAGGGGGGCCCCTCCAAGAGGAAACTGATCTTCCAGGTACCCTCCTTCCGGGGCAACTGAGGCAAGGGGGAGATCGAGGCGTGGCTCTGGGAGAAGTTCACCACGAAGTTCCTCGTGGACAGCGGTGTGCCTTGGAACGGCTCCAGAAAAACCCCGCTGTGGGCCTGCCTTTTTTGAGGGTATCATGCTTTAAAAATGACACATCCAGGTCCCTTGGTAATGGAACCCTGGACAAAGCGGAATCCCTGGCTGATGTAGCAGAACCCCTGTTTTGTTTTGTTTTTCTTCGGGGGGTCCCTTCTTCCATCTGCATTTTTTCGACTATGTTATATTATCCCCTTTCGGCTTTGAAGGGAATCAAGTTCACTGAAAGTCTTGGCAATGGGAACCCCGGAAGCATAAGCCCTACATTTTTTTTTTGGGGGGGGGGGCGCCCCTTGTAGTGGTTGGATTGAGATCAGTTTTGGAGGATGGGGTTAGAACAATGCGGGGTCAACTTTACATCAGCATAGGAATTGGAAAATGCCTGCTTCCTTCGCAGTGCAGTTTCTGGGAGTTCGCGGAAATTGTCCTCACCGTAACTCTTCACTTGTGAGCCAACCTTTTGACCTTTCGGTTTCTTTGATTTCAGCTCTCTTTTGTTTGCCCTTTGGCCCCGTTTCAGCTCATCCTTGTATTCCTGACTCCGACTGACTTTTGGAAACCGGACCGCCCCGAAAACCGAACCGATTCGCTTGGAATTGAGCCCTGGTCCTGAGGGAGGGCGCCTTTTTTCCTATGGCTCGTGCCATATGGGTGTGGCTCAAAATTCAACAAGAGGGGCAAGCCGCTGGTGTTTTTGTCCATGTTTCCACTTGCAAGCCATTTTGGAATTCCGGTTTTTTGAGCCACAGCCATATGTTCTGTAAGCTTGGATCCCTTGTGCCAGTGTTGTTTGCTCTGTTGCAAATGCTTTGGCCATGTGAGGCGAAAGAGCTTGCCCCTTCCAAAGCTTCACTTGCACGAAGGGGTGTGAAGGAGCGTCTGCCATGTTTCTGACCTTTGGACACGGACCCCTAGTAGGCCATGCCTGGAAAAAGGGGCTCCCGTTCTTTTCCAAAAATGGCTCAAAAGGCCAATCCTGCTGATCGTGTCTTTTCGTTTGAGTGCCCGTTGAAAGGTATGAGATACGAAACCACAAACCAATGCGGCGGGGTTGTCATACAACCGTCACAAGTATGTTCATATCCATTTTGTCTCAATATAGTCTCAAACCGATTGTCGCTTGCTTACCCTTTAGATCATGCTGAAAACAGAAATGCTTTGATTTTGCATTGAGCCTGCAAAAGGTGAGACGTTTCTTGGGAAACCACGGTTTGAATCTCAGGCAGCTTTAGTTAAAAGAGCAAACCTTGAACCTTGTGGATTCCTTTCGGCTACGATTTCTATTGGCAGCGGCATATAACCCAATGGTCCAGAGTCAGCTTTCAGTCATGCCAAAGATTTCATTTCTCGCTTTTGTTCAGCTGCCTAGTAATCCCTCGTGTATTCTTTCATTTTCTCAGCCTCGGCTTTTACATAGTTGAAGTTTGCTAGATTGATGGGGAAGAGTTGGATCCTTGCCTTGCGGTCGAGCAAATGGCCAATTGGCTTCGCTAGAGTTCGCTGGAATCAGCCAAAACTTGCAATTGACTGAGTTGTTCAATCATTTGTGTTCCAGACGACCCGTCTTTGTTCAGTAAGTTATGGTTTCCCTTCAAAATCAACCAGCAAATGCATGGGGTTCATGTTGTTTGACCAGCTGGCGATCCACAATGTTCCAGTGTTTCGTATTCTGGGAACCGCCCTAATTTGGAGGCACGAGCCACGCTGCATAAACTTTTCGTGAGAGTAGTAGGGGACAGTCCTAACCATAAATAGATGCTGCCGAGGCTCTTGTGATAGTGTCAATGATTCTCGTTTCCACGAACTGGCTTTCACCCTTGGGACAAGTGAGCCAATCCCAGGAATGGGACATCATCGGCGAGGCCGGATATTCCGGGAATTCCGGCGGTGGCGAGCAAGTAGACGCAATTGGGTCAAGAGGTCCTTTGGGTCATGTGATGAGTTTGGGCAAGTGATCATGTAGCTGACCCATGAAAAACTTGTCGGACCTGCTGTGGCTCAAATAGAGGAGGGTCCCTGGCGAGGTTTTTAAAACCATTTCAGCGACAGTTTAGCTGCGTATTTGGAGCAGCTTCGAGGATGACGTTACTTCCTGTTGAGAGTTGCGTAAGGCCTAACAAAAAGAAGCATCGGGCTGCATCCCGACAGGCCCTATACTCACTGTCTGAGTTCCTGGACTCAGTCGCTTTTTGGGTCTGAACAAAAAGCTCCTGGACTTGTTTGTTGGCCAATCAATTCTATCGGAAGTGAAAAGCACGGAGTACCACTTGGGTGTTCCACCTACTTAGTAGGTTGTATCCTTGGTTATCAGGGGACCATCACCCCAGCTACACCGGTTAAGACTTTTGGTCATCTCACCTGACGTTGGCTGGAAGCTCCACAAAGCCATACAGAAGTGGGCAATATCTTGTTTTTTGAGACCCTTTCCAGGTCTTTTTCAACCCGGAAAGCCTGGAGCCTTGCTAAGGTTGAAGCCTTGATACCTTGGCTAGGTCGCGATTGGTGCCAACGTTGACCAACTTTTTTGGTTGGGAGGGTTCCCCTACTAGAATAGACAGAACAAAAATAAAAAGGCTACCCTTATTCTAACCTATCAAATCTGGAGGACCTAGTTAGGTTTTCGCGTTCCCGGCTTTTTCAGACAAAACGCCGGGAGTCGTACTGCGGCGCCTTCAGCGACGGGAGCTTCGCCCGTAGGTGCCGACGCCGTGGCCCTGCTTCCTCTTCGTCGCCTCGGAGAAGGCGCTGGAGACCAAGCGGGCGGAGATCGAAGACATGGCCCGGGAGCCCGGCGAGGAAAAGGCGGGGAAGCCGATGAAGACCATCGGCTCAAGACACGAGGTTAGATATTTATTTATACATGTCTTTTTCTCAAGCTATGTCAATTTGTTTTTGCTTTGTGGCTGAACAAAGCCGGCAGTCACAGTCGTTTGCTGTGCGTTGCGGGAAGGCATAGACAACCTGACCACCCCCCACTCAGGAAGATGTATGGCTTATGAGCTTGAGCCATGCAATGTTTTGTTACCCTCCCACCAAGTATCATGAAAAATCTGCCAGGGGTCCTGGAAGCCCGTTGTCCTTTTAAAGGGACCCCCTGTCAGGTTCCATGGTAGTCAAAAGGAGGGTATTTTTGCATATGTTGAAAGCTGTTTTGTTGGAGGGATGTTCCTTGTGTGAGTCATCATAGTCAACTGGCAAAGGTGCCAGAACATTGTTTGTTGGAGGATGTTCGTCTGACTTATTGGCGTTCCCTTTCTGATCCATCCGTACCAAAAGGGGTGCTAAATGCAACAGGAGATCCATTTGGGGTTTCGATGCGAGGAGATGGCTCGGGTTTCACTCGGCGCTTGGTACAGGGTTCATGCCAGACCCAGAACTGTGCAGTGGGCCCGACGATTAGGTCCTGGGTTAACAGAAGCGGGGCTTAATAATGACTATAGTATACTACTACAGTGACTGAGTCGGACTTGATTTGATCTTGAAGGCCCCTACCCCTTTCCATTCATTTAGCCCCTCATGCTAGCTTCCAGTGGCCTTGTGGCGCTATGCCGAGGTGAGCGTCACCAGGACGTTGTGCGACGAGTTCAAGGCAAGCGGAATGCACCGGTTGCATGGCGGAAGGTACCCGTGTTTCCGGGTTGAAACGCCGTCAAGGGAAGCCAAGGAACTAGCCCAATGTGTGGATGTTTGTATTGTTTTGTGTGTTGTGTGTTGTGCAGTGTGTGTTGTTTGTTGTGTGGTGCGCGCGGAGTGTATGTGTCTGTATGTGTGTTTGCGTGTGCGTGTTTCTGTGTGTCTGTGTTGTGGCTGTGTCTGTGGCTGTGTGTGTGTGTGTTCGTTGAGGGTGGGCTTGTTTGGCTAGTCTTCCAAACCCCGACCCCGAAAATGAGCCCTGCCTCTATTGCTCGTGTCGCTTTGCAAAAGCTCTTCAACGTGAAAGGCACCTCGCCCAGACGCTTTGTTTGCGGTACCCTTGCCGACATGTTTCGCGTGTTCCGTTGTGGACCCACTGCCTTGGGACGCAGTGAAAACTAGACCACGGTTGGCCCGAAAGCAGAACATCGCAAGCGAGGTCGGCCCAACGCTGCAGGATGCGTTCTTTTTCCCTACACAAAGCATTTGTGAAGCAAGCGCGAGACAGCACCAGGCAAGGTGCTCTGCGCAAACTGGTCGGTGCAAGTTGGTCTGCGCAAGTTGCTCTACGCAAGTTGCACTGTGCAAGTTGCTCTGCGCAAGTTGCTCCGCGCAAGTTGCTCCGGCAAGTTGGTCCCTGCAAGTGGCTCCCTGCAAGTTGCTCTGTGCAAATTGCGCTCCCTGCAAGTTGCTCTGTGCAAGCTGCTCTGTGCAAGTTGCTCTGTGCAAGTTGCTCTGCGTAAGTTGCTCTGCGCAAGTTGCTCTAGGCAAGGCGCTCTGCGCAAACTGGTCGGTGCAAGTTGGTCTGCGCAAGTTGCTCTGTGCAACTTGCTCTGCGCAAGTTGCTCTGCGCAAGTTGCTTTAAAATGCAAGTTGCATCTTGCGACGCCCGCCCGCGGACCAGGGAGGAATCGAACCCGCGACCCGGTTCCGGGAGCAGGCGCGCGAACCACGAGACAACTCCCGAGGACCAGTTCGAACAAAAAAAGTCGCAAAAAACCTCGGGTTTCTGCACCTCGACCACGCCGATCCCCGCAGAGGGTCGCGCGGGAACTTTAGAAATCGCAAAAAACCACGGGTTTTTGCACCTCGACCACGCCGATCCCCGCAGAGGGTCGCGCGGGAACTTTAGAAATCGCAAAAAACCATGGGGTTTTACACCTCGACCACGCCGATCCCCGCAGAGGGTTGCGCGAGCACCGCAGAAATCGCAAAAAACCATGAGTTTTTGCACCTCGACCACGCCGATCCCCGCAGAGGGTCGCGCGAGCATGTTAGAAATCGCAAAAAACCATGGGTTTTTGCACCTCGACCACGCCGATCCCCGCAGAGGGTCGCGCGAGCACGGAAATCGCAAAAAACCATGGGTTTTTGCACCTCGACCACGCCGATCCCCGCAGAGGGTCGCGCGGGAACTTTAGAAATCGCAAAAAACCATGGGTTTTTGCACCTCGACCACGCCGATCCCCGCAGAGGGTCGATTTTCGTGTAGTGTCGTCGGCACTACCCCGCCGCCCTAAGAAGAGATTTTAACTCCTCGCAAGTCAATTGCACTTGACTCCTTGCACTTGCAACTTGCACTTGACTCCTTGCTTGTTTCAAGGAGTCATTGCAAGGAGTCATTGCAAGGAGTCATTGCAAGGAGTCATTGCAAGGAGTCATGCAAGGAGTCATTGCAAGGAGTCATTGCAAGGAGTCATTGCAAGGAGTCATTGCAAGGAGTCATGAGAGCCATTGCAAGTTGCAAGGAGCCAAGTGCATGGAGTCAAGTGCAAGTCGCAAGTGCACGGAGTTAAGTGCAAGTTGCAAGTGCAAGGGGCCAAGTGCAAGGAGCCAAGTGCAAGGAGCCAAGTGCATGGAGTCAAGTGCAAGTTGCAAGTGCATGGAGTCAAGTGCAAGTTGCAAGTGCAAGGAGTCAAGTGCAAGTTGCAAGTGCAAGGAGTCAAGTGCAAGTTGCAATCCTTGCCATGACTCCTTGCAATGACTCCTTGCAATGACTCCTTGCAATGACTCCTTGCAATGACTCCTTGCAATGACTCCTTGCAATGACTCCTTGCAATGACTCCTTGCAATGACTCCTTGCAATGACTCCTTGCAATGACTCCTTGCAATGACTCCTTGCAATGACTCCTTGCAATGACTCCTTGCAATGACTCCTTGCAATGACTCCTTGCAATGACTCCTTGCAATGACTCCTTGCAATGACTCCTTGCAATGACTCCTTGCAATGACTCCTTGCAATGACTCCTTGCAATGACTCCTTGCAATGACTCCTTGCAATGACTCCTTGCAATGACTCCTTGCAATGACTTTCATGATGATGGTTCCTTGCAATGACACCTTGTAATGACTCTCATGAGAACAACTCAAGTGAACCCAGCGGAACCCTTCGCCATGCTTTCGGGAAAAATGAGGCGCCCGTTTTTGAGACTCAAGCCGAATCAAGGCCGATCTGAATGTAGCACACGTTCCCTTCCTCTTTCTTTCTTGTGGAGGTCCCCAACGAAAATGGTAACCCCAAAGAGGCCGGGCTTCCTTTTTGGTCAAAGTCCCTACGGTTCCTTGGCCTCAGTAAGTCCTTTTCTATCGGGTGACTGGGTGCAACGGAATCGAACCTCTCGCCGCGGGCGAAAGAATCGACGGGTTCCAGGCAAATGCTGGCGACAAGACTGCCTCGCACTTGGAATCCCGAACCTGCCTTTGAATTTATCACAGACTGGAGGAGAGCCGCATGGGGTTCCCTTTCAAATGGCTGTGGCTCAAAAAAACCGGAATTCCACAATGGAACCCTGTTAAGTGGAAAAATGGACCAAAACCTGCGTAACCCCTCCTGTTTAATGGTGAGCCACACCCAAATCAACTAAGTACAAAACAATGCCCTGGCCCAATCAGATGTCTTGAGGTCTGGGAAGTGGCCCCTGCCCGGGCACGTTTTGGGTCTTTTGTTCTTCAGATTTGTCTGGCATGTGACGGATCGCCGGCTGGATGGCTCCTCATGTTTGAGCCACGGTACCCTTTTTGGGTTTAGGAAACCGGCCATTTTCTGGCCCTTTTACCTTTTTTTTGGGGAGGGTTCCCCTACTAAATTAGAGCAAATTCTAGCCTCTTTAGTGGAGGACTTAGCCTATTCTGAGACAAACCCAAATCTTAGCAGGTATCCAAGCACCAGCCAGGTGAGTCACAATCAGGACCCCCCGTCAGTGGAGGCAGGGACAATCCCCAGCCATAAACGAGTGTGGCCGCCTTTTCAATTCTTTACATGGTTCTGGGTAGACCGTTTTAAAGTACCGGGTTTTGATTATGACTCGGGTGTCGTTTCATCCGTTCTGTGCGGAATTCGTTGGCATGCAGCTCCTCTCCACGAACGGATGCCGAGGTCCAGTATGTGTCCAGAAACCATGCGCTGAATCTGGACGATGCGCGCACCTTGTCCAAGGGACTTGACGTGTGGGTGTGTCTTTTTATCGGGGAACTCCCAGAATGATGGGTTTTTTCTTTTTGGCTTCTGTTAAAACCATCCAACAAAAGGGGTACCCTTGAAAAAGACAAGCCCAAAAGTTAATACCCAAAAGTCATTTGAACCCTGAAAGGACCACTTGAGAAGCCCAGCCATGGGCTGTTCATTCCTGGGGACCTGTCTGGAACCCGGGACCTGTACCGACCCCGTCCCAATACCGTTGCTTCCTACCCCAGAGCCGGGCAGCTTCAAGGCCCATCGCGAATCCCAGTTCCAATGGCCAAGGGAGCCCAAATTTGACCATGCTCAGAACCATAGGCCGTCTGGGGGTCCTGGTTCCATGCGAAGCCTCCGGTTTTTCAACATGCACCTCAGCCTGCGGTATTTGCCAGGTTATAAGGCCCTTTGTTGGCATTTTTTTCATTTTTTGTTCATTGGAAGAGCAAAGGGCAACCACTTGGTCCCCCGGTTTTTGGGGGGATCCCCGCCCCAATTTGGACATACCCCCTTTTTCCGTTTTCCTCTTCAAACCAAAGCTCGCAACAAATCGGGACCCAGTTGCTTTTTTTTTGGTTTTTGTTTTTTGTTTCTTTCTTTTTTTTGTTTTTCTCCGGGTTCGAGGCGAATGGCTCTCCGGGACCGAGTGGGCCTGCTCGCTCTCAGTGACCGACCAGACCTTTGTGAAGACCCAGGAGGCTCTAGTCACCATTGGGCAGCTCAAAGAGGCGCTTGCCTCGATCGAAGTTTGGTGCTCAGTAAAAAATGACCAAGCGAGACAGGGTTTTGGGATCCCCCAAAAGGAAACCCCGGTCCCAGTCTGGTTGATTTTGCATGGGTGTCCTACCCTCAAAGGAACCTCGGGTTGGTTGAAAGGAACCTCAAAAGGGACGCCAAGTTTCATTTCTTTGGCTGCAAGTCCCTATGACACATTTCCACAAGCTATACTTGTAAGTTTGCTGGGGCTCAGCAGGTTGGGAAGGACCGAGACCCAGTTTTGGGGCATCCCCCAAAAGGAAACCATAGGGCAGGGTTTACACGGGGCATTCCATGACTCCTTCCCTGCCTATCGCACCAGAAGCGTATCGTAGCGAAAACCGTTTGAGTTCGTTTGTGGCCAACTCGCAGAAGGGCTTCGTGTGTGCGGCTTGGGTACGGTCAAAGACATTCTCAGCATGGGTTGCTTGGACTTGTTGCCAGGGTCTCCGGCGTTCTCAACCCCACCCCATCCTAAGTCAAGCGTAGATCAACACGAACCTCACCCTCCCACCACAAACCAATCTAGCCCTTGCTAGACACGCCCCAAACCTATCCTAAATCTTTACCCAAAACCCCATGCGAAGCAACCTATCTGCCCAAAACCCACAACTCATGCGAAGCCGACCAGAGTCCGGACCCGTTTCTCCATCCACCCCCCCGAAGTATAAGGGCCTAAAGGACCTCCAAAGATAATAGCAAGGTCTGGGGGCCCGTCAGTTGCAAACATTCATGCGTGACATATTAGTAGTATAGGCCCATGCATAATATGGCTATGGCATTTACCGGGGTAGCACTTCGAAAGTGGCTGGTGGACATAAATGTCATTCCTAAATGATGTCCACCGTGGAATGCCAAAGGCGGTATTAAATACACGCGTTTTAGAAGACCTTTCTTTTCTAAGACGGTCTTCTTTATTGTTCAAAGTTTGCTTCAAAAACACAACTGCCAAATTAGGTAGAGGCGCGGTCCTTGCGATTACCCAGCCGCGTAACACGCCATGCAACGAAACCGTAGATCACGCTTCGACCTTGGACCCAATTGCTTAATGCCAAAATAGCAGCCTAGGCCAGCGACATGATTAACCGTTGATTTATATTTGGCAGACTTTCGCAGATGATTCATTAAGACTTTGCCACCCATACAGATAGTATTTGCTCTTCTACGTTCTGAACAAATTGTTTGTGTTATTCCTCCTCTTGATCTTTTGTCCAATCATTTCATACATATTCTAGTCATACGCTCAAGCTATTTCAACACAAGTTAGTTGGACAATTAGCATCATAAGCAAAGTTTGGTACAGTGTAAAAGCAAAGTTCGGTAACGGGTCATATTACACAGGGTCTAGACCATATGTCATACATCCATCTCTGCAGTTTTCAGAAATGTCAGCCAAGAAAACACATTTGCTGTCAAATGGAGAGTGATGTTCTCTCAATGTGTCCAGATTTCATTTGTTTTCGCATAGTCTTCATCGCTAATGCTATCCTCGCTCAATTGGCTGCGAATCTTCTCTGTTAGGGTACCGGCGCAAGTGTATCAATCAGAAAGGCAAACCATACCTCTTCTGCTTCGCCACACATGCTCGATTGCTCATCTCAGCTGAGATGCAAATCCTCTTCATCTGTCAACTTACAAACCCTTGGCAGTAGCAAAACATCTGCAACGCATACTGCATCTCTCATCTCAATTCATCTGCAAATCCCCTTCGTCTGTCAGCTCACAACCTTGGCCAATACCAAAACACCTGCTCACACCTCATATGCCGGACCAATGCCACGCTGTCTGCTAAAACAACTAATGTCCCTGACCAAAAAGAAGTTCTGCGTGCCAAACACTGGTGTTTACGGTGTTTTTCAATACCCAAGGGTTTGTGTGAAGTTTCTTAAGTCTTCAAAACGCATATCCAATGTCCATGCTGAACTATCAAGTGTATTTACCGCGCACAAGTCGACAAAGATAAAAAGGTGTACACCTAAACAGCAAGATTCCCAGAATTCTAGATCTTGAATCTTGAATCCAGTATGCGACCCCCCCCAAAACGCTTTAACGCGCCTCAAAGCACATTTGGATCTAAGATTCAAGATTCAAGATTCACAGGACTCTAGATCTTGAATCTTGAATCCAGTATGGGGCCCCAAAACGCTTCAAATCGCTTTAAAGCACTTTTGGATCTAAGATTCAAGATTGTCAGGATTCTACATCTTGAATCCCAGTATGGGGCCCCAAAACACTGCAAAGCGCTTTTAAGCGATTTTATCATGGATTCAAGATTCAAGAACTAAAGTCCTGGGAATCTTGAATCTTGAATCTTAGATCCTAATGTGCTTTAAAGCGCTTTAAAGCGCTTTAGGGGGTCGCATACTGGATTCAAGATTCAAGATCTAGAGTCCTGTAAATCTTGAATCTTGAATCTTGGATCCAAAAGTGCTTAAAAGCGATTTAGAACATTTTTTAGGTGCATGCAGTCACCGTCAAATATCAGCAGATGCGGGCATGTTAAATGCTCAAAATTGCCTGAAAAGGGGGTTTAATTCGCGCAAAAGCACTGCAAATACTGTCAACTTTTCTTGGGGGTACCAAAGAGATGTGTATATATATATGTACATATAAACATATATATATATATAGATATGGGCCAAGCAAACAACCAGCTATGTTGCACAGAGTTGGGGCCTACAAAAGCATCCACATCAGCTGTTTTCTTTGCAAGCGTACAGGTATCTTGATGTGCCGACAGAGAAAACCACCATGCCTGAGGACACCGCCAAAATATGTAGGAATCAACATCCAAATTATCAAAATAATTACATCCTGTGCGTGTTTGTCGCTTCTATTTTGTGCATGTGGTGTTTCCGGGGCACAAACCACAAACAGGCCAAAAACGGCCAAACACGGTCTGTCACGGCAAGCACATTTTTTCACGGTCCTTCCCCGGCAATTTGACGGTAGTCGTCAGTTTCTGGGCTTGGCGAGACGAAAGAGACTTACTCAAGATTCAGGGGCTCACGTGGGCGCCAGGAAGAGCCCGGGTGTCTGGAGCACCGCTCCGTGGTTCAGACAAAAACTGGTCTTGCAGCGTGGGAAGGAAAAGTCAAGGCAAAGTGAGTCTTTCTATACATATATATATACATATATATATACATATATATATATATATATTCATAGATGACTCGCATGTATGTATGCATGCATGCATACATACATACACACATACACGCATGCATGCATGCATGCATGCATGCATGCATGCATGCATGCATGCATGCATGCATAGATACATAGATACATAGATACATAGATACATAGATCCATAGATCCATAGATACATAGATACATAGATAGATACATAGATAGATACATACATACATACATACATACATACATACATACATACATACATACATACATACATACATACATACATACATACATACATATAATGTACAATTCATGCACATATGTATGTATACACATAAATCTGGGTGCTCCGCAGGTAATTACCTTTCCGCTTCATCCCCTTAGAGTTTGACCCTTTGCGGCAGCGCGCTTTGCTCGCGTTAGGCGGTGGCCCACGAGCGACTCTACTTCCCACTCCGGTGAGATGAGCCGATCGATTCCGAGTCAGCACAAAACACTGAAAGACGAGCGGGCAATCAAACCCCGAAGTGAGACCCGGAGCATCCGGAAGAAAAGACCGCGCTAGAGAGCGCCTGCGAAAGTTGGAGATGCAGACAAGCAGGATGTCATATGTTGTGTCCTTCAGGTCTTGTACAGAAGGACCCCTTTTTGGGGAAACCGTTGGAGGGTGGATGTTTTGTTGCCCCAAAGACTTGTACCGAAAGGGTTCGGGAACCTTTTTTGGGGGAAATGGAAGGTTCTGGTAGGGGTTCCCACCCTTTAGGGAATTTATCGCTGGGTTAAAGTCTACCTATGCGTGTTCACAGAAATTCGCAGATCAAGAGAGCAGGGATACGGAAAACAGTCCATCCACTGAGGCTTGCCACAAGTTGCTTCGCAGGGATGTTTTGAGAGAAGCGGGACGGGGACCTGACTTGCTAATGCGCGCATTGGAAAGCAGACACAAGCAACCTGGCGGTTGTCAGGTTGTGATCTCAAGAGCCCCTTTTTGGACCTTTGGTTGAAGGGGCTCGCTCGGAACATTTTGCTGGTTTTAGGTGTCCACTTCCTGTGATACGGGAATCCCTTTGAAACTCCCAAATTCATCATCAGCCCAAGTTTGGCATCACGAAAAGGGCTCTTGCACAACCACCGGCAGTCGTTTTGATCAGAAGCAAACAAGATTGTGTTGCTTCATGATGTTTCGATGGTGTGCAAGGAGCTCCTCGCAGGAGCCCCTTGCAGGTTCATGTTTTTGTTTGATCGCGCAGGTCGACTCAATCGCCAAGCTGGAGCCGAGGGGCGTGGCGGCCTCAATAAGACCCCCTGCTGTCAAAATGGAAGCCACAGGCAGGGAGTCACAAGCAAAGCCTTCTCTAGTGATTCCATTGCCCTGGTTATTGAATGTTGGGCCCTCTATACTCACAGCCCCCCCTTTCTGGAATAGTGAAACCAGTCAGCTGACCTTCTTTAGAGAAAATTTGGGGGGTCTGGGAGGGACAGCACTTACTTTAGTATGGCCAATTCTACTTTAGTATTACCAAGGCTGACTCTCCGATTCCCAGTACTTGCTTTAGCATTGCCAATTCTACTTTAGTATTGCCAAGGCTGACTCTTAGATTCCCAGTGCTTACTTTAGTACTGCCAATTCTACTTTAGTGTTGCCAAGACTGACTCTCACATTCCCAGTACTTACTTTATTATTGCCAATTCTACTTTAGTATTGCCAAGGCTGACTCTCAGATTCCCAGTACTTACTCAGTATTGCCAAGGCTCACTCTCAGATTTCCAGTACTTACTGTAGCATTGCCATTTCTACTTTAGTATTGCCAAGGCTGATTCTCAGATTCCCAGTACTTACGTTTGGCATTGCCAATGCTACTTTAGTATTGCCAAGGTTGACTCTCAGATTCCCAGTACTTGCTTTAGCATTGCCGATTCTACTTTAGTATTGCCAAAGTTGACTCTCAGATTCCCAGTGATTGCTTTAGTATTGCCAATTTCACCTTGGTATTGCCAATTCTACTTTAGGATTGCCAAGGCCTGTTTTTCAGCAACCCCCAAAAAGGTTGGACCGTAAAGAGGGCCCCACAACACTCGCATTAAAGAGGCTCAGGACCTCTTGTGGGCAACCCCCTTTGCGCGAATGTTTGCCCTTATTTCGTAAAGAAGTTATCTTAAATTCGATGGCTTGGAGGCCGCTGGCAAAATGGACTTAGTAGATCCAAGGCCTTTACCCTTTGAAGACCTACGTCAGGCGAACCACCCTTAAGGCTAAGGCTTCAATTTGAGAATTTCAGCAACCCCCGAAATAGTTGAACACTAAAGAGACTCATGTGAAGTGGTGGCACCGGGAAAAGAGTCTCCGGCGGAACCGCAGAACCTGAGGTGAGGTGGCACAGCGGCGTCAAGGGCTGGGAGGCATGTGAAGCTCGATCGATTTTCCTTCAGCTTGGCTATGAGTTTGAATAGGGCACCCCTGAAAAGCGGTGGTCGGACATCCATCCGCAACGAATTTAATCGATGGACATCGTGGGTCGCGGGTATGATGATGTCCCATTGGTTCATATCCGCATGAGCCGCAAGCAAAGACCGGCTTTCTAACCAGACTTAGATACCGCCTGGTTCGTTCTTTACGTCGCTTTGGGTAGTCCAGAACTGGCTGATTCCCACCTCGCACGGCAGCTTTGGAGGGCTTTGATTTCCCTTGTGCCAAAAGACTGGCTGCCACAACTGAACCACAATCAAAACCCGGGTAGATGAAGGTTAGTAAGGGACGATCCCAACCATAAATAGCTGCGGCCGTACATGGTTCTGGGTAGACCATTTTAGTACCAGGTTTTGATTGCGACTCAACTGGCCCTAGGGCCTGTGATTCTTGACTTTCTACCCTTCACTAGGGCAAAATGTTGGACATTGCTTGAAGCAGATGTGGCTAATCCTCCCAACATTGGGTTCATTTCGACATCTCCCCTAAATGGTGGTTTAAAGGGGTTCCCCATGGTTCCCCTAGACCAACAACAACATTGAGAACCCAAAAAACATCAGCCACTTCAAAAGGCCCAAACAATTCGAGGAATCTCCGTGTGGAGGCCCCCTTTTTTGGCTGCATAATTACCTTTGATTAATTCTGGTATGAAAAAAGAGATGGTCCCTCTTGCTCCCCACCCCCAGAGAACCTTCTGTTCCGAGAATCTGCAGGCGAATGGCGCCGAAGTTGCCCGAAGGTCGCGTAAACCATTGGATAGCCGCCGTGGGGGTGGGGGGCGGGAGTCCTGATTCCCTACGGAGCACCAACAAGCCAACATGTGATGAAGTTCGCCATTCTTTCCACGGCCGTTTGAAGCGCTGGCCAGGCGAAAATCGAAGTCGGCGGAAAGGTGGTCCTCGGCGGATATTTCAAACCGCCGGGCCCTCTGCAAGCTGACATGCGCTGGTTTCAGATACGCCGGGGTGAAAGTAGATGGCGCAAGTCCCTTTTTGTGGATAGGTACAGATCGTGTCCTTCTAGGGACCCCCCCACCTACCCTGGAGAGGCCCCCCAATTTTGAGACACACCCATAGATTTATATAATACAATAGACAGATCCCTTGCAGAGTAGCATGGTCGTCCAGCACCCTTCAGTCTATGATATACCTGTAAATATATATATATAGCTAATTAAATGTGCTTATATATATATATAGATATATGTCTTTATATAAATATGTAACTATGTATTATAGGTAGTACATACATATATATATATACATATTTACATGTACACGTGTACTATGAGTTGACCAGAATTTGAACCCCACCGCCACCGGTTGCTTCTTTTGGTTGCTGAGGCAGGGAGACGATGAGGCCGCCCGAGAGGAAGCTCGGAAGCAAGCCTGCAGCTCAGCCCGCTCCCAAACCAAAGCTACTCCCAATCTTGACTGCTATTGGGTTGGATCTTTAGACTTGAACTTTTTGGGAAATCAAGGAGTTTTCCACTAAACTCACAAAAAGTAAAGCTTTTGCAGGTTTCAGTCCATGTTTCCACTTACTAGGGCAAGCCATTTGGGGTACCTATTTTGACCCACAGCCAGGTATGTGTATATATATACACATACACATACACCCTTCATATAGTGTTCTTTTTAAGGCTAGCCCATTGAACCCCTGGGGTAGTAGTTCTGGGGTGGTGGAAACCATCTTAGATTTTGTGATTCGAATCTATCAGCGAATTCCTCAACAAAGTCCCTCGGCGGTTCGGGATTTCAATGAAACACATGATACCCTTTTTCGGGAGCTCGGTAGCCCGAGCACATGTTCTGCTGTACAAGGCTGAGCACATGTGGTTCCCATTGTTACCTACAAAACCAGGGAAATGGAAGTGACAGGGAAATCGTTGAGGTGCAAGGCCTGGATGAGCTTGATCCAAAGCCCTAGGGTCTAAACAGGTTCTGATACTTGCGACCGTGAGATGCAGGGGCCCTGAAATGGAATGACCCCGAAATAAACCATCTGGTTCATTCCCTCATTCCCTACCTGAGCACCAGCAAGAATACCATAGGGCCATCGATTTGTTCGCGGCCCGCCGGCGGCACCTTTCTCAGGCGATTGCCTGCCGCCAGGCCGTCCGCTCGGTTTCGGACGGTCTTTTTTTCGGGCCTTGCCCGTTGCATGGGTAGAACCTCCTTTACGACAAGTACCAACAGCTCACCAGCTTGGGCCAAACACCCAAGTAGCATTTGACGATATTTGACGGGAACCCATTTGTTAGAATCCGTTCAGGGGCTCGGGATTACGCAGGTGTGCAGGCCATCAAAGTTGCACTTCTTCCAATCAAACCTGGGCGGGATTGCATGGATGTGAGGGAAGAAAACAACGGGAAAGACAAACTGGGCTGGGTGTCCTGCATTGGAATCTCCATTGGGGCGGCTCGGCCTTTGTTGAGGGTACCCTTTTTGGTTGGTTTTTAAGGGGGGGGCTCCCCGGAAAACAAAAAATGAAAAGAACAAAAACACGCCCATTCGTGTCATTGCGGTGGAGCCCCTAACAGGACCCATTCTTACGGTGGTCTTTTTGAGACGAAACAGGTCTTTCACCTACAGGCGCTATGCTAGCGGAAAGAGAAACGGTCTTTGCCAAGCTGCTGAATGGGCAAACTTTTTGTGGGTAGATGTTTTTGTGTCACTCCCGGCCCAAAAACATTGCTAAGCATTTCCTGCCCAGTAAACTCAGCAAACACCAGCATGGACGCTATCCTTGGCGTCTCGGAAGGTCAAATACTGAAGCTGTCAAGCAAGACATATGAGCTTGTCTTTAGAGGGCCCTTTAAAATTGCGGTTTTCATGTTGTTTCCCTTCAAGGCCATCCAAGGGTACCCTCAAAAAGAGACACACCCTTATGTTCCACGCCCAAGCTTTGGTCAGAACCCAAGAACCTTCGCCTTGGTTTCCGTTAATCTGACAAGCCAAAGCACACTCTTTTGCTTGAGTCGCCATTTTGTTGC